TTATCTATCTAGGATTTAGTGTCACGATCCGGCAAACGGAAGTGCCGTCAGTGTAAAAGCCTAAACGAAAGGTCACTAACTGTCTGTCTGGTTAAACTCTTAGTAGGAGGCGCTACGCTCCATTCGAAGAAAGTTAAATCCTTACGAGTCACGTGTCATTCCGCTCTCCCGTGACATTTGCCTCGACAACGTCATATTCTTACAGTGCAAGATTTCAAAGCTAATATACCACTACTCCAAGAGGTAATTGAGAGCATGGGCTATAAATTCATCTTCTATTCCAAATTCCATCCTGAGTTAAATTTCATTGAGTGCTAAACGATATACATAACAACATTACAATCACACTTGGAACAGTTTAAAGGAAACTCTTCCATCTGCATTTGATTCTATTTCTCTACACAAAAATATATAGGAAGGGCAGAATTTGCCATTAAAAAACATAGGAGTCATAGAACGGGTTTTTTGAATAAAATTAATATTTGATCATTGACATTTTCAGTAATAATTTCCCTCTTGAAACTAGTGGGTAGCATTAGGGGAAGGGGGAGCTGTACAATAATCTCTGATAAGATAAGGTTGGCCTAAGAGATGTTCTTTTCTGGCAGTTATAATAAAAAATGTGCTTGATATAATGATGACAATTATCAATTCATGATATAATGGGTTTATCACAAAAGGTATCAAGAGTGGCTGTGTAATTTGAGTTGGAAGTAAAATTTAATAACTTTTGAGTTTTATTATTGTGGAAATCTTTGAATAAATAGTGACCAAAGTCTTTGATTTTCTGTAATTACTTCTTATTCTTGATCTACATGAACTTCATTCTCTTCAACTGCAGACAAATCAAGTTTTTACCAGCATAAGCTTGCCCACATGCAAACATTGTGTCAATTGATAAGGAGATGTAACCAATCTGGTCATTAAACCAATCTGAGATCTCATTAATATTTAGGTGATGTAATTAAGGAAGGAATTGCAAGATTGATATTAGATTCTTGTATACAAAATTCGGAAATATTTTGTGTATTACGTGCTTCAAAACCTGAGCAAGAAATTAGTATCTTCCTACCCACAATAAAGTAACAACAACAATTATTATATTGCGGAATCGAAGGGAAATAAATTCTATTTAATATTAAACAGGGCTATCTTCGATTTGATATTCGACTAGTCGGGTTCTGTCACTTGTCTCAAACTAATTTAAACAATATTCGTTTTTAATAAATAATTAATAACTCTCGTTCCTCAATTAAGAGTACTAGATCAACGGAAATTTATACAGCTTAAGTGAGTTGTTTTTACAGCTTGAGTGAGCTATTTTTACAACTTGAGTGAGCCGTTTATTAATATCCGGTTAAATAATTAATATTGCAACGATGAAAGAAAGTAAAATTTCGATTTCAAAGGGAATCGTTTATTATTATTCCATGGAGTGGGAATTATTGTTCTAATAGCCTGAACAACATTTTATAATATGAACTAATATTTACAACATTAAAACATGAACATTAAGAACATATAACATATACAACATGAGAATTTGACGATGGGGTAAGGGCCGCTTATATAACCCGCGATTACCAAAAATTGCAACAAAAGGAATCAGTAATCGACATTTTCAAGGACCAATAGATTTTAAATTAACTAGTGGCACCGATGCTCAAAATATGCAACGGATGGTATCGCGTACCACTATACCAAATTAATTGTTGCGGAGGAAGATTTTACCACGTGACTCACTTATCTGATTCATCAGATCGGCTTGCCGTAACGATTAGAGAAATTTTCCAGGGAAGCGCTGAAAATAGAAATTCTCTTTACTACAGCAATTTTTCAAGATATGTGCAACGATGGGGGAAGAGGAGAACATCTCTCCATTCGAACAGTATGTATCACTCGTGATCCATCACTTTATCAGTGAAGCAATGTGGAGACATAGAAGTAGAAGAAGGATTAAAGTTAGATTGCATTGCTTCTTTTATTGCCGCATAGTACCGATGTTTAGCCGAAGCTAATATTTTCGGTAGTATAAAAAATTTCAGCCGAGTCGAGGCGGAAACTGACGGCGTTAAAAAAACAAAAGGATAAGTCACAAAACGAAGGGTTAGATAAAAAAGATAATTTTCCCTATGGATTAGTTATTGGTGGCGGAGTAGTGATTTTTTTGCTGATAATTGCGGTTATTTTTTTCTGGCAAAGAAGCAAAAGAAAGTAAATTAGAGAGAGGAGTGTAATAATGAGTATCGTGATTGGAAACAGATGATATTGAATACGTGTGGGGAGAAGTTGAATTGGAGTCGACGGCATTCTGAAGAGACGGTGATGATGTTTTATTATCAGTCTTGAGAGTAGCCACAGGGCACAAGGCAGACGGCGTGGCAGTATCAAATGATGGTCGCGAATGTTTCACTATGGAGATATCCTATGCACCACAGAAAAAAGACAGGAAAAAAACGGCTGAAGACCTTTACAAGTTACTTCGAGATGATCCATATTACTAAAGGAAAAAGATGTAAACAAGGCTACAAGATACCAAGAGAAGGTTTGTGTGTATATGGCACACAATGTCATGGGTATGCAGTAGACCTGTACGAGATGGATTACATAAAACTTTTCTACGTCGTCCGTAGTATCGGAACTACTGTAATTTGCCGAAGTGATATTAAGAAACTCGCCTTCGTTTTACGAATGATGTGGGCATTTAGAGAAAGGATGAGTGCTGCGAACAAGGTCTGGGACAATTTGGAAAGTAGATATGAAACTCATACACCACAAAGCTCGTCTGATGATGCAAATGATTACACTAAGGCGACACCGAAGAAACGTGTAAAACTTGCTGCTAATATTAAATAATCTTTGTTATAAGCACTAATTATAAAGCTTTGTACATTTTGTTCGTTCCGCATGATCGAATTACATCACTATAATAGTTTTACAAACCTTTTTAATTTCAGCGTAACTGATCTGGGTAGTGAATGTTGATATTATGAACTCATGAAGCAGTCCTGTCCGTATGGCTATAGGTAAAAATAACTGATTAAGACCCACATGTTTACTATTAATACAATATTATATAGCATATTCGTCAAAATTCATTTCATTCATCAGCTTCGCTATCGTTGGTTCCATTGCACTCTTTCATTCTTGCAATTCTCGATCTTCTGAAGTTTGTCAACATCGTTGACTTTTTCCATCGCATTCTTCGCGTTTTCCAATACAGTTCCCTTTTTCTCGTAGTGATGCCAGTAACTTGAGAGGGATGGGCGGTATTGAACTTTGGGTTGACTTGGGGTCGAGATTACCGTAACTGAAATAGAGAACTAAGTATTATGACATATACATGTTTAAAAGTTATAATACATTTTTTGGCAATACTACCATGTAATATCCATTCGAAGTGCTTGAAAGCCTCGATCAAATATAAAAATGGGAAGCGACATTGCGTTTTATTTACCGTCAGTGGATATAAGATTTTAATTGGAAAAGGTGGTACAATATGTAAGTACTGCAGTTAATTTAAAAAGTAGACCATTGACAGTCACATGCAACATGAACAACGCGTAGGGCATTTCTTGCAGAAAATATGCCACAAGTCATGGACTGGCCAGCAATTTTAAACTTTTGGGTCGCGCAACTCGATGTTAGCTTTTTCGGTCCGCAATCGAACGATCAATTAGAATAGTTACACGACGTGATGCATTTTTTCGTCACAGTCGCGCGTGACGAAAATTCCGCCGTCATCATATAAATCTCCCATAATTGACAATGCTTCTCCTAAAAGTTTTTGCCGCCTAAATAATCAAGTCCAGAATCATCCGGATGAGCTGACGATTCAACAGGTAACGAAGACTCGGTATGAGGGAAATTTGTGAAATGATCGCCGCGAAGCGTTATTAATATGTCTGTTTTTCCGTGGCGGTTTGGTTTGGGGATACCTTCTAATTCCGTGCTTGACTGGATTTTTCACCCTGCTGGTTTTTGAGTTTTGTATAGTCTATTTTCTTTTCGTTTTTAGGCAAAGCTGGTAATTCTATCCTTGTTTCTTCTTTTTCTTGATAAATAATATTTCATAATTTCGTGCTTTATCACTGTACTTCTCACAATATTTTCAGGAGCCTAAAAACAACCCTTCCAATTTTAATTTCATTCTTTTCTGGATAACTTACTCAACCCTTGTCAGTTCAAATAGATCTTTCTAAAGTTCTTAAAGTAATACCAGTATATTCTGAACTTTCAGTAATACTGTGAACAGCACTTCAAATTCTCGGTTTCTTTATCTGCTAATTGTTTCTTTAACTTTTCGTTTTCTTCTAATAATTTCTCTATTACTCTGTTTAAGTCCTGATATTATTACGTTTACATGCTTTTTTTATATATATTTTTATCTATTCTGTATTACACTCATTGGCCAAAAGTATTTGCCGAAATTTGCTGAGCAATAGTAAAATATATAAAAAATCTATTTTTTCGAAAATCTCCATCGGCTATATTTACTAAGCAAATAACATTATCTTTGTTCCATTCTGAAGCTAATTAACTATACTTTTCGGAAAAACCTATTATTGAGTTTAAACAACTAATTCTAATTACGTAGTGCTTCGGTAAAGTTGCGATATGTAAGTTACACATATGTAATCATATAAAAAAAGTATGTGCCTACTATTGCCACTTCATTGAACTGCAGCTTTATAAAGATAGTACATTTAAATGTGTTATTATTTTTTCCGAAGAGTACAATTATTTAGCTTCAAATCAATACAAAATTTATTGTTATTTACATAGTAAATATAAACAATACGGATTTCAAAAAAATTAGATTTTTCATATGTTTTACTATTGATCAGCAGATTTCGGCAAGTACTTTTGGCCAGTGAGTGTATATAGGATAGTCCATCATCAGGGACTCAGAACTTAATCTCTATGAGTGGCTAATAAGTTTCTCACCACGGAATACATAATAATAATAAAGGATGAGATGATTGACACGTCCGATACTCTCAAATACTAATACATTGATTTCAGCTGCTTTTAAAGTCTCCATCATCTATAGTCGTCCAGTCCAATACACAACATCTCTCTACGCTAATTGTTGGGTAAGTAAATTGATATTCATTTCTTCTGTTCAATTTTTAGGCGGGAGACTTAAACGTCATCATATACGTTTATTCAAAAATCCTATATTATTCATCTCAGTAATTACCATATAAAATAAAGGGGGATTCTTGAAGATAATTAGAGCGAATGATAGAAACAGTGTAAATTTATTAATGCCACCAGTTCCTATGAGGATAAGATTAATATTAATCTACCTTACCATCGCCTACGACATCCCACCCAGGCTAATAAGGAACCTTCTACCCCTCAAAACAATAACAACAAGCTACAGTCTAATCTGGTTATAATGAACTTTTGTTATAACGAAGATCTGTTTACAATGAAGATTGCCTCCAAACTAATCATTAAATTATTATATCTTTGCTATTAAGAACCAGGTTAGACCGTAGTTTTATTACCATGGTTGAGAAACATAGCGTTCATGTTAGTATGTGACAGATCAGAACTAAAATTTATGTCAGAAGTAAAAGACGGTAATTATATTCGAAACAAAGCAGAGCCAAATGCTAATTGCTCTTGTTGTACCTCAGTTGGGGACCTGGACTGAGACAACTGAGTTCTGGACCGAGTGTCTGGGTTCTGGGCTGAAACAACTGAGTTCTGGACTGAGTGACTGAGTTCTGAACTGAGACAGGTCCCAAACTCGGACACAACACTCTCACTGGAATAAAATATTTGTACAGAATTAGAATGTTTCGCTTCCATCTGAGCTTTTTTTTAAACATATTAACGTATTAACGTATGGCAATATTATGGTTAGGGAGAAAAAAAAATGCTTTAGAATGCATGTTTTAACACAAATGAGATTCATTATCAAAGTAATCGTTTCTTCGTACAATTTATTACCAAGTTGATCGCGTTCTTGCTGTATAGATAACTTTTGGGACTGCGTTAACTCGAACACAGACCTGACGAACTCGGAACACTATACTTTAAGTGATAACTCGTGTCAATGGCAGACGGTATTGATATGAAATATCGAAGTAGAATTGATAATCGTCTCTGCTCATTCTACCGACTGAGAGAGAATATACAATTGGAATTGTTGGTAATTTGCTGCAGGAGATAACTAGAGTGCTCATATGAGTGTCCTGGTCTATTACTATTGTGAAGTACTATTTTCCGAGATTCTACAGAGAATAAACATTCGATGCTACGCAGAGTATGAATTATTCGATTGTGCCTTTGGGAATATTCGACTAGACTCTGATTAATACTGTACGAAACTAGCATGTTTACTAAAGACAAGAGTTAATCAACCAAGCACGTCATGAAGTGATAAAGAGAAGATCCCTCGTATTTTGCACGCAATTATGCCACTTATTATCTACATATGATGTAACAGCGGGTGGTCTACTCGAATAATTCTTTTCGACAATCAAATCTTCAACCTTAATTATAAATCTGCTTTACTTGCAAAACTTGGACATTTGTAATAAAAACATTGAATACGTTTACTAATCTTGCTTTTTATGTTGTCACCCAAAATATTATGAAAACTGGTATGATGATGTAAGACGATAACAAATTAAGCCTGAGCTTTAATATCATATCCCGTTGACATCATTATCAACGTTTCACTCTGAACTATTTACCTACATGCCTGCTGATATCAAAATCAATATAAAACTTCTAATTCTGCTAGAAAAATTCGTAGAAGAGCAAGACTGCCAAGATCGCAGGTCTATTATGACGTGTTCAAAAGTTTTATAGATAAAGTTCAAAGCGATAGTAATCTTGATTTCATTATACTAATTATTTCGTATGACGTAATTATTTAAAACCCTAACCCTAACCATGATATTAACCATAGATATTAGAGGGGTTGACTGCGAGTTTAACTAATTTTAGATCTCTTTACATATTGCGGGGCATGCTTGGAGAGTGCATTGTGCCATTCTGCGAGTTTTTTCGATGTGTGATTAAATTTTTCAAAAAACCACCGGTGTAGGTCTTCCTTCACTAAGAAAAAAATTTTAATTTGTGTGGAGAAGAAGATATAGGACGTGCGCAATGAGAAAACTATTATAAAGTCGCGTTGGTATCTCGCAGTTACACACATCTTTTTTCCCGAAAACGGCAAAATACGCAAACTAGTTGCGGCTATATCCGACTACATATAAATAGTCGACCATATTAATATTGCTTTTCGAAATGCACACAAGTTTATTGAAATTTCAGTGAGACATAAGTAGGCTCTGTTGACGTTGACTCGGAGAGTTTATAAGGCTTATTATTATTTGTAACCAGATTCTCAGTGGAATTGAGGTTAACCCATAACTCTCTGTTATATTGTGAGCGCGCGTATAGAAATACAAGTTTTTCTTTTGAAACTTTGTATTGATTTTAACGTTTATCCTCTGAATACTCTAGCAAAAGAACCTATAACGTAAGGGTTGGTAAAAACCTGATGTTACTGCGCCTGCCTTGACTTGCGTTATAAAAGACAATGCATTGACATATTATTCTGAAGAACCGAGGTTATCCCATAATTATTGAGGTTGTGGTTCATGATAAGTCGCCAAAAGAGTGTGTACTGTGCGCTTAATCCCTTGCTGATTCAGTCCAGCTTCCGCTTTCAATCTATCATCATATCTCAGGTTTGGGTTATTTTTTTTATAGGCAATTTTTTTTTTTATTTTTTGCACTTGAAACCAAAATTTACAATAGCGTATGCTTTTAAACTCACATTTGGTGATATTCGACGCGCCTTTCGAGAAATTGATATCTTATTTCCTAGTGAATGAGTCTGATTCTTTAATAATTTGTAGATGGATGATTGGATTCATTCTTGATTGCAAATGAAAACATGATTATGAAATTATTACTAACATATCCCTTCCACGATATATAGCGCGCGTTTCATTGTCTTTGGATCTTATCGCTATCAGTAGCAGATACTAGCAAAATAATAAGCCTTGTTACAGCAATTACCATCATTTCTTCTAATATTGCTCAACTTATTACACATAATGTGGGGGTTACAATGTTTTGATTACGCGTATTCTTAAGTTTGATCGTGAAAGGATCAAAAATTCAAAGGTTGAATCCTTGAGCTTGACGAATAGTCTTTACTATAATATTTCTTATCTCATTGTCCGTCGGAACGAATTTGATATTAGGAAGCCGGCCATCATTTATTTTGTTCTAGCATACCCCAAATTTTTTGAATACATTGCTGTTATAATTAGAATAGCATCATTCATTTATTATTACATTAAGTGAAGTTTTCTTACTATTGGTTATTAACCTGTCGTTCTATTAAGATAATTAATTAAAGTAGGTATATATACAACTGAATCTAAAGCAAAATTGCTATTATTACAACATTAGATTAGTGTACTCGATCTCTTGTGATGTAAATCTTCTGTCGTAATGTTCTTAATTGACTTCGAAAGTCCCAAAGTTAACGTCATAGATATTAGTAATTGTCTTCTGTCCAATATGCGTATCCTTACTACTAACGAATTGAGACATATAATAAGCAAGGTCGTTTCTGGAACGGTCCTTTACTTGTTCAATGTTCAGCGAGAATTCTTCTCCATCCGAGTCGTCAAATGAAGTAGATGAAGATGATGAGGTCAATGGAGAAGGCGGCGATATCAAATCCTCAAGGAACAAACAATCCTCATCAACGACATCGTCGTGCTTCTTCTCATGTCCGGATGAGTATTGATCAAAACTCTTCTCACAATCTTCTAATCTTAAAAACCCAAGTCCGGATGTTACTGAAGCGCCCCCACTAGTGAAACGATCAACCACTAAGGAGAAATAATCATTATCTTCCTCCTCGCTATCACGCCAGACCTCGCGACCAGTAATCTCGTTCGGAGTTGGTTGGATGAATTTCCCCAACTCAGAATCTACTCTTTGTAACATGAAGTTCTCATCCTTCTTAGATTCGACAAGGGGGTGAGGAGCAGACAAGAACATGGACCCAAGAGAACTGAATCGTCTCTTTGTCAAAGTTGTGAGCAATTCTTGATTCATACTTAAATAATATTAATATTATGATTAGACAAGACGAAGGACTTGGTATGGGAAGCGATGCTGCACACAATGTCTTTACGATGAGTAGGTAGAAGGGAAAATAGAAGCTTTTTGAGAGATAGTAAAAGGGGCAAGCATATTTTAATTGTCCAGAGTAAATTGTGTATGGTATTACCATTACCCCATTAGGTATCGAAGATATATTCGAAAGCGCCCCAAAAACTGGACCCGAGTTTCCCGAATTAATTTCGGCCTTAGTATTAACCATTTATTGTAGCCATTGGGCAGCCCGAGTGACAATGTTGCACATAAAGAGTAATAATAATGAATATGGGTCCATTCTATCAACATTCCACATGTTTCCTTGGCTATGCGGTTGACCGTCATACCACGTTACAGATATGTGCGATAAAAGTAAATAAGAAAATTCGTTGGGGGAGCTTTCAGTTCTATTTTTGATTACGGCATTGTTTGTGAACTTTAATTATTTTGTTACACTAATTAACATTTAATATTACGATCATTATCTTGATACATCTGCTAATTAGAGCTGGATAATGAGAATGAGTAATTCAATAGGCCGAAGTCAAAGAACGTATCAAATAGTAAGTGCGTACATCAGTAGATGGTGTCATCCTGTGATACTAGATTCATCAAAGTCAAAAGTTAGGTGATGCGGATCGTTTTTCCATTTTGCATGTAGTTTTTATTTTTGTGAAGGAATGGTTAAAAAAACGGATCAATCTCTTTCTACTGCGCTACCAAGGATAATACTTCTGTCTTTGAACAATCATGCTTTTATTTATTTATTGCATACAATGTTCATATGATAATAACTCGAGCTTTAGCATGCTTGGAAATAAAGTCTTACACTATTTATAACTAATAACTAATAACAACCAACACAAATGACATGCTTTAAGCAATAGTAATAATATAAAGTTCGTCAATATTTGTCATCCTAAATTTGAGATGGACTAATACGTGGGGGGTTCAAAAAGGTTTGAAACAGTGCAATTATCTCAGCAACCTCTGATTACATTCGCTTGGTAAAATAACCATATTAAAGCTTAAGTTACACTCAATTAATAAAAACGGTTGATTAGTTTTAGTTTGACGGTTATCGAGAAAAAAATCTTTGAAACTTGTCTATTAACAACGATGGAAAATTTTACTCGCGAAAACAAAGATGATAATCTTGGGCGTGCCGGCAGAATGGTAAATGGGCCGACGACGATCACAAAGGGCTAATCACTGTAAAGCACTATTCAAACATACTATTTACCGCTAGATTGAAGCATTCAAAGCCGGACAATCGAGCATCGAAGGTGCACACCCGTTCTGGATATCTCCGCAAAGCCGTTACACTTTCGAACATTAATAATATTGAAGATCTTATTAATAATGACCCCCATATTAGCATTGAAAATATTCAGAAAATCATGCCTATCTCAACTGGAAGTCATTTTGCATTATAAAATTTTGCCAAGAAAGCATGTGTTAAATAGGTCCTCTCACGTGCCTACAGTGCGGGCATCACACAAATCAAATCATCACTAAGTACCCTTGGGAAGAACGATTCATACTGCTTCCCTACCATCTTTATAGTTCTAATCTGGTTCTGTGCGACTATTTTTTTATTTTCAAAAATTAAAAAAGGACTTGGTGGAAAGTGTTTTGGGAGGATTCAAGAGCTTTTCTATACTATAAAATTAATAATAATAACCAATAGCATAGCGCAAAAAGGGTATTCTGATACTGAGTGCTTTCAGAGTTGGCATAGAATTGTATAGAGGTTAAATGTGACTATTTTAAAGAAATGGAATAGTTAAATCAATATTTATCATGTAAAAAAAATTTTTTGTCTTGTGTCAAAACTTCTCACTGTAAATGTAAAAGCAATGAATGTCTCCTCTCCATACTTTGGAGACAATAGTAGTAGAGTGTCTCAAAAAAGCTGTTCTGTCGGACATATTAAATGTAAAAAGTAGTAAATGCAGTAGAAAATGGGTTACTGAATAACAATTGATGTTAAATTGTCTTGTGATGTTTTTCTATTAAAAATATGTGCTATAATCATCAAATGAGGCAGACTGCAACAAAACCAGACAAAGTGAACATTTGACTGCATGAGCTAAAGATGGTTGATGTGGCTAAATAATAATACAATCTACACAAAAAGAACGAAAAAAATCAATTAGAAAAGTGCAAAAACCTCGATACTTACTCTTTAGTATTTTCTTCGCTATTGTTTTGAGATTTCAGTAATTGTATTGACATGTTAATGTTCTATGTGTATCCTGTTTTCCGTTGCTATTGCTTGTTAAGCTACACAAATATTTGAGAAAATGATTTTGCACGTTAGGTTTTCTTCCATCTCTCAGAATCTTTCAAAGTTCTTTTGCACTTTGACATTATCCTTGGGACTAATAATTACGCATCAACAACAACTCCAAAAAATGTTGGGGCATGTCATGTGACTATTGACCTTATTTTTTTTATATAGATTGATATCAAATACCGTTTTCAGCCAGTTAGAGGCTTTGCAATTCTGTTGCTAGGATATGGAAATCGATTCTAGAGGACGAATTCTTGAAATTTGATTTGTTATTGTAAGGATGACTATTACAGCACATTTTTAAAATCAATAATATACCAAAATTCTCGAGTAGTATCTAGAAAGTTTATAATAATACATGTCTTAGCATTCTCACGAAATAGTTTTAATATTAAAATACTTTTCCAAGTTTCGGTACGCTTTGATAAATGCCACAAACACAGCGACAAAAACTGCAAATAAAAATATATCGAGAATATTGAGTTGCATCTTGTAGTTATTGATTTTGCGGTTGATAAATCGGCTAATCATATTGATTTATTAAGTGAACGTTTTGGCCACGCCGGCTCCACTTGTAATGATTTTTCTTACCCAAATCTCCAGCAGCTTTGTCTATTTTTATACATCAAAACTTGTCGTTAGCGAACTATGGCATTGACTCTTTGGATTTCGTTCTAAATCGAGGTAATGACTTACCAGCATAACGGGTTCATACAACTGTAACAAATGATAACTGCGATTTTAGATTTATTGATTTACACTATACATAGGCACTCTCGATAAGTCGGACTCGTTGGGGCGGAGACTTATCAAATTTCATAAATTTTTAAATAAAAAATCACCCCTTTTATTAATAAGCAATCTTTTCCAATTTTGATGTTTTAGGTCATTCATTCTGAGATTGCTGTCCACTTTTATATTGATGCTATCCAAAACAACCGTATTGCTTATGGTTTCTTCTCCCTCTTCTCTTTCTTCTTCTTCTTCCAGTACTTCTTGTACTGCAGCAAAATGACGAAAACGACGAAGCAAAATTATTGGATAATTAATTGTATTGTATTTACTAAAACGGTAAAGATTGTCTCTCAAAAATCACGTGGTCAGACTTATCGAGTCATTTCGATTGAAAGGTTGTCCGATCTACAGGTTTATCGCGATTTTATATGTGTTCCGACTTATCGAATTTTTTAAATGGTCAAAAAGGAGCGAACATTTGTCCGGGTTGAGCCAAATCCGGCGTTTACTCTCGAAGTAAATTATCGGCGATCACAATAGGTTATTAATAGCCTGATCTACATTTACATAGACGATCCTGCCTCTGTCTGTCTGCGGAGCGCTAAGCGCATAATGATAAGATTGTCTATAAATTTGTGCTTTCCTTATATAAGCGAATGGCTCGTAGGATTGAAATATTTGTCAAGCCGTTTAGCGTTTACCTGGATTCTAATTAATCAAACCTTACGTAACCATTTGTCACACACAGACTAAGACTTTCCCCCAAGTGTTTGTTGTCCTATTCGATCACCATCTTAATCAAATTTCGCATAAAGAATTAGCCTTTCAATTTGTTTGTGACAGCCGAAAGCGTAAAAATGACGCATGTTACAATACCAAACTTTGGCCGCGAAGTTCGACTATATTAAAAACATGTCACAATGCTGTCATTTCATATTGCATACAACTTACGAAGTGCCCATAATAATAAGCCAAAATGCATAAAATTTAAACAATATGTGCATTATTATATCATTTGTTTAACATGAAACTGAAGTTGAACTTAGAATGTAATTACTGTTTTCCTTTAAAGCAAAACATTAATTTATCTTCATTCAACAATCTTAGTTGTATCTAACGAAGTTAAACTCATTTGCATATCGTCGTCATTCAAACGACACCTGATTAAAATATTGCGCAATGCCGAATAAACGGAAAACAAAATCTTTGTTTTTGGCAAAGAAAAATGTATTTACAACGTCACAGATTTGCTTTATTTCTTTTTTAAATTAAACAAAAACTACGTATATATTTAGTAACGACATCTATTCATAACTTTATCCTTACATTCACAAACAAGAAAAGATATAAAACGAGAAACCAGTTCAAATCTTGTCTATATTTTCCTCGCTTTTTATTAATTAAATTTATTTCTCTACAATGCCTGCCTCCATTTCCGTAATCGCGTATATTGCTCAACAAACAATAGAATTAATAAATGAATACACTATACAAAAAGGTCTCGCTTCTTGAAAATCATATACAAGCAATACGATTTACTTACTTTGTACAAACAAGAAGAAGTGGAAGAATCTGAAAAAAGCGATTCTTCAATCGGTAATGCACTGCAGTTAGAACCCGTTTACTACAGTCAAACCTCGGAAAACCGATACCACTTAAAACCGATAACTCGCAAAACCGATACTTTTTTTCAATTCCCGTGCAATTTATATATGATAAACCCCTCGTAAAACATATTAATATAGACCTCGCAAACCCGATAACCGATTTTTTTTTGGCGATAGTCATAATAGAACCCGATATAATGTAGTACAAATTACGTGACCTGATTCTTGCAATTTCATTGGTCAACCAATGAAAGATTTCGCAT